GTTTTTTGTAAAAAAAATTATAAAGCGATGGAATTATCTACCAACCTTTGTGGCATAGCGGGTGTAAAGTTATGGAATCCCTTATGAAAGGGTCTCCAAATCTCCAAAAAATTAGTGGTTAATTAGGGGAAAGGAAGTGTGTGTGTGTGGGAAGTGTAGGAAGTGTAAAATGATGAAAAATAAAAATGTTAGTTGTTAAGTAGAGCACGTACCACTAGGCAGTGCAAAAATAAAATGACTAGTTGATTAAAAGCGCTAAAGTTGAGGGACCAACAAACTGCAAGGCAGCTACATCAACTACAACGCAGTGTCAAAATAAAAATCATTAGTTGTTCAACTGTGTACTACAGCGTTAAGGGATCAACAAACTGTAAGGCAGCCACGTCAACCACAAGACACACAAAAATTAATGATAATTATAAGGATGATTAGAAAGAAATGTTGTGAATAGTCATAATAGGAGGAAAAGAAATGAGGGGATGATTAACAGTATGGTTAGTAGGCGTTAAAAGTAACAGGTGGGAGGTGGTGTGTGGGGGGCTTAAAATTTTTTTTTCTGAAAGCCATTGTTTAATTGACCATTTTGATTCATATGAGGGGGGATTTAGGATGGGCCACTTTCAGCTGCTTTCGATAAACAATTGATTTGAAGGTAATGATTGATCAAAGTTATCTGTATCTGCCTTGAATTTGATGGGCAAAAACAATAGACACAAAAGTAAATGCCAAAACAATTTAATACTATAAAAACTTGGTCAAGTTATTAGAGAAGCTGATGTGATCGCTAGTATATGTTTAAGAAGTGGAAGGTATAATAAAGTTACTTGGAAAGAAAAGTATATCAAGAAAAAGAGTAGTAAATAGTTCAAAAGTGTAAATTAGAAAATAAATGTTATAGGGGTCAACGACGAACAAAGGCCTTTTAGTCAAACTGACGACTTTTAGTTTCCCCTGATGCAGTATTGTGCATCTTGCACAGATGATATTTTACAATAAAACTCTTGTTATGTACAAGAAACCTCACTTCTTATAAATCTAAAAAGCTATTCAAAGGTTTAAAAAAAAACTAGTCTTCTTTGTCAAAATCTCTTTTATCATTCTTTGCACTGAAATTGTGATAAATCGTCGGTGAAATTGGAAAAACACACGTTATTCTCCAGCTGGCAATGTTTGTACAGTTACAAACACTCAAATTAAATGAAAAATGAAATGGTCATGAATATTAATGTTCGAAACTGAGTTTGATGCCGGCAAGCTACGTACACATGATCTTAAAACAATTCAGGTTTCTCCATCCGGTAACCAGTCTGTATCAATCTCATGAGCTCTTTATTTGTCAAGAGTGGATAAGGTGAGCCTCCTTAAGAACAAGTTAAGTACAATTAAAAGAATTGATATATACATGGTGAAACCTGGCTAAACGAATGACTTCTTATGCCGTAAGGGGGTTTTGAGTACACACAACGTTTATGACCATCTCCAGCTCGGTGACACATTACTTTCTGAATTTAATATTGATGGGAGCGTAACTAAAAAACCAAAGGAAATCGCAGTTACACTATAAGAAATATCAATGCAGGTTTATCGGGTCATGGGGCCTACAGATGGATAAATGAAACTTGGATTTTTTTGACAGATAAAGTTATTTTGATATAATTACCAACAGTTGCAATTTCCCACAGAACAACTCCATAAGACCAGTTGAAAAGAATTATAGTGCATTCTGTTGATACTGATACTGTATGCGAACTTTTATATTCGTACTCTTAATAGGACTGACTGGAATCCAATTTGGTCTGCAATCATATGAGTTTGATTATAAACCGAATCGGACGACGCTAAGTACTGTTACCTTTTAATTATAACCATTACAATTTCCAAAAAAATAAATACATTTATTTGGGAGTGGGCTTACAATACTAATTATCTAAAGTAAAAAAATCCTCCATTTTGGAAATTCCCAATACTGTAGGGTATGTGGTTGTTGATATGGTTATTGTGATAAATTCTGTAACGGGTGGATTTAGCTAAGTGGAATCAATATAATTGGCTTCTTAACTGTTCGATTACGGGTGTCCAATCACAGCTAACTGTCCGATTATAGGTGTCCGATCACAGCCAACTGTCCGATTAAAACGCTTCAGAATAATGAATGAAGGCAGCTAGTGCACCAGTCATATTTGAGAAAATCTTAATGGTTGTGATTATCAATTCAGTCAATTATCATTTTTTGTTTCTCTTTTTGCATAGAAAATTATATTTGTTAATACCTTCCGTTTACATCAGCTTTTTACTGAAGTCTTGATCAATCTGTGCAACTTTTTGGGAATTTGTTAGTAATAATTGGAGGGGAAATAAAGAAATATATATTCTTTAAGGTAAATATTAGTTATGTCTTCTCCTTTTGAGACAAATTCATGAGGTATTCGATAATTATTTGAATGCGCTTTTTAAAAAAGTATTACCACAGGGAAAATAGAAATTTTAGTGAGTCCCTCAGTTTTTTTAAAATTCTGCTTTGATACTGCGACTGTTACGAAAAAAATGACAAGTTACTAACACATCGCTTTTTGAAGTAAATATCTGTTCGTAAAGTGACTCAGGTGCCATCCATTTAACTGACAGTTTCTTCTGCTTCTGCACCTCATATACCTCATGATACACTTCTCGCATCAAACCAAAATCTGCAATCTTGAGCCTTTTACCGTGCCCGACAAGGACATTCCTTGCCGCAAGATCTCTATGAACGAGGCCTTTCTCAGAAAGATAAGTCTAAAGAATCAAAACAATTGAACAAAGGGACAATCACAATTTGCCATCAGGTGTATAAGGAAGGGAGTAATTTTCACCAAAAAGACTTCGATTTGAGGCAATTTGAACAATCGGGATTGAATAGTATTAACTCTTGCAATGACCATACTTTGTCAAAACAGATTTTGCCCCTTTGTTAAATTGCGAAGACGCGGTGAACCAATGCTTTGTGTGCTGGACTCAAGGTCTAGAGGCCGGTATCAAAACCTGGCTGGGTCATTCTAGCTCGCAACCTGGTGGGCTCACTGTGTTTTTAGGCAAAACTCTTTACTCGCAAAATGCCTCTTTCCATTCAGGTTTACCTATGAGTACCGATAGATTGTGAGTTTAACCCGACGAAACGAGGGGAACTAACAAACTCTTCCATGGGGGAGTAATAAAATTCGTAGCCGCTTCATGCTACAGAAATGGGAAAGGCTGCAAGGTGTTGTGCGCTACTGCTCCATTGCAAATTAACTACTAAGGCAACTGAGAGCATATATACGTCACCGTTTGGTGTACAATGTCAAATTTTCAGATTGAAATTTTGCTTATTCTGAATCACCATCTCTTCTATTTTTATTGTTCTCATTTTTACGTGTGTTATTCCTTATCCTTGTCAGACAATTTTTTTAGGTTTTGCCCTATTTAAAAGCATTTCCATTCGCTGCAAAACATGAAATTAGACTTAAAATACCGGGAGATATTTATACTGGGTACTTAGCATCGCAATTCTTTCAACATTTTTATTGCAGACCAGTTTCCCTTACCATGCCTCCTGCTATCTGCCATGCAAATGACAGAAGATCAGCTGGAATGAAGGACTCGCAATCAGTACTACACTCTTCATCTGTCTTGCCGGGCCTTTCGTCTGCCTCCTCTCCCACAGTTGGCAAAACGACCAGTGGTATTTTACACTCATCGATTCCAGGCTGACCTGGGCCATCACTAGGATAGGAAGCTTCTGGATTGAGTTCTGGTATTTCTCCCTTCCAGTCACTCTCAGTGTCGGTCTGCATTTAACATAGCGAACGTTTGTAAGCTTCAGATCTAACTGTCACCTCGGTATGCCTTGCATAAATCAAAGTAGATACTTATAAAACAGTATTTTGAGGAAAAGTTAGCATGGGGAGATGCTGCTACAAATCCCGCCGCGAGACCAAGTAAAAAAGAAACAAATCTTCTGTTGCAATCTAAACAAAAATCCAAAAACTGTTTACCTGATCAATGAATGAGCCAAACAGAGCAGTCCTAGATCCTTCGTAAAGATCATTTTCTTTTGCTGTGCTGTCAGCCAAGCCGTTGATCTAAGCAAAGGACAGTTGTCGACATGACATGATACTGTCAATGGTTCCAATGAAAAGCAACAATAAGTTAATATACAACTCCTTTAACTATCTCAGTAGATTCTCGTTAAGATCTTTTTTACTTTTCGTGCTTTTCAATAATTGTATATGAATAATTGTAGATACCACCAGGTTATTAGGATTATTTCAATGTCGTTAAATTTTTCATGCGTAGGCTTTCCACCAAGATTTCAAATCCTAGGAGCATACTTACGTGTACACGACTAATGCGACCTTAAAGAGGGTGACTTAACACTAAGCATGTGTCACCCGAATAATGTTTATAAAAATTACCTGAGTCCGCTTGCCTCGAAGCCAATGAAGCAAGTCACCGTGAGCCACGTACTCGATAACAAGGAAAAAAGGTTCGGTCGTGGTCCAACAGCCGAGGAAGCTTAAAACATTCCGATGTTTACCAACTTGCTTCATCAGGTCTAATCCAAATTGCCTTTACCAGCATTTTCTTTTTAAAAAAGATATATGCATTTATGATGATTTTGCAGCATGTAGTGCTATTTCGAAATTTTTATTATTAAAAGGCATTCTGAAACCAAAACCTATACCGGAGTTTCTCTGATTTTGCTTTAAAAATTCATTGAAAAGGAAAAAATTTGACACCGCACCGCCACGGCTATAATGTCACGGAAATGTTTTGGCGAAAAAAACCAGTTTAGGCAGTCCGAGACAAGAAGCTCTTTAACTAGCGCGACAAAAAAAGAAAACTTAGACCACAAATGGACTAACGTTTTTCTCTTGACACTCCTGCCTTTTTTGTTGCTGAATAATAATAGATGATGATAAGGATAAAATGCTGATGATGACATCGTAAAGATCATCACCATGCAGTTTCTTTACGTTTTTCTCCTAAATAAAGTCCAATCCGTTCTTGAGTGTTGCCTTATGAACCTTCCCAAATGCTCCCTCGCCCAGGTCCTCGACAAATTCTGTTCTTAATGGATGTATTTCGCACTGCTCCAAGACATGAACGTCTTTGACCGTCCTTGATCAAAATAAAATGAGTTTTTTAGTTTAGTTGCATCATAATCCTGAGTCGAAAAATATTTGCTTCAACCTCAATCATAAGGAGAAGCTGGTTTTGTGATATTCATCATGGGAAAAAGTGATTATACCAACGGTGGCAATCATGATAATAATAGTTATGATGATAATGATGATTATTAAGATAGTAATGAAAACGATGACAAAACGTGTATTGAAAGGAATCGCCCAACAGACTCATGTTAGGAGTTCGAACTAACGTCAAATACTGTACTCCTGGTTGGAGAAATAACGACGGGTGATAAAAATGAACAAGCTTTTTGGTCAGGAGGGATAAACTAAATATTTAACCTTGATTTACAGTAAAGTATGCGGCCAGAAATACCTTTTGTCTTGTTTTGAAGACCTCTTCCTGTAATAGTACCACACTCTTATGGTCAGTACAAGGGCAATCAAAACAACAACACCAGCAACAATCGGTGTGATTAGGTTCACCAGTTCTAAAGGCGGAGAATCTGTAAGAAAAGGACATCACTGTGATTGCAGCCTGCGAAAATTTCGTAAACGTTTTGCTTTCTTTAGAGCTTTAAAACCAGTTCACGAGGTGCTTCTCACTCAGCAGTTAACTAATTTAACTTGTTCTTCTCTACGCGAAAAATGTTTTCTTACTTTAATGTTTGAAAATTTTTTGTGGACCTGATCTCAACTGCGCTGGTTTGAAACTTTCTATAGAGCTGATCTCAACTGTGCTGGTTTGAAACTTTTTTGTAGAGCTGAACTCAACTTTGCTGGCTTGAAACTTTTTGTAGAGCTGATCTCGACCGTGCTGTCTAAGGCAAGATTTTCAGTTGGTGAAAAATTTCTGCTGTTCTTGGAGGAGAGTCAGGAGAGTCAAAGTTATTCAGCAAAGCGATTGAACAAAAAACTTAAAAAAACTGCCAATGTACGAACTTGTAATTTCCACTTTCAATACTCATGCTCTTGATTGCAAAAACTCATCTTTACCAAATATTATTTTAGGCCATGAATTTCAATTTCAATCAACTTGGTTAATTACTCTAAAATTGATGAGTTTTCAATACCTCTTAAATAGGATTCTCTACCTCCCTGCAGAGAGGTTAAGCCGTCTGTTGTTGCCGACTGCAAGGAAGACAGTTCTCCACCTCCTAGTTCATTCCAGGCCCTGGCCTGAAACTCATACGTCGTGAAGCAATTTAGTATAAGTTCCGTTTGCTTGACTCCTTCATCTGTTACATTTACATTTACATTTACCCAAGTGTCATCATCATTTAGTCCTTTTTTCCTGTAGCTGATCGTGTAAAAGAGTATCGGGCAGCCAGTGGATTTTGGTGAGGTCCACCCTAGTGTAATATTACATCCTGATACTTTCCGGTCAAATATTTCAGGTGAACCAGGACGGTCTATCAATTGAATGAAGCAGAGCAAGGGTATAAAAAAACATAACGTTAGTTTCCTATAAACGACTGTTGCGTTACCGTTTCGAGTTACTATAGACTTAAGATGTATACTGAATGATCACGTGACTACCTTCTATTTCCTCATTCGCAGCTAGCTAGTTTAAATCTATTTTTACCTTCACTGCTAAAATTTAGCTATCGTATAAGCTATGTATTGATATTGTCATTAACCTGCTAATAACATTAATGGCGTGGCATATTAAATTGAATGAGTAACATACAGGACTGAAACCTAGGGGATCATAATCTAACAATGGTATTGAATAAAATTACACGTTTACTTCACCTTGTGCTGTTCTCACTTTCCAGGCTGCGCTATTTTCGCTTCGTCCCAGCGTGTTCCAAGCCGCAATGATGAATTCGTATTGTTTGCTGTATTGAAGCTGCAGTTGATAACTGGTAACTCCCGAGATGTTTATTTGGCTCCAGCTCTTTACAAGAGGTTGTACTACTCTGAAGTGAACGGAGTACATGAAAATATAGCAATTGTTATCTTCGGGGGCGCTCCAAGTTATAGTTACATTCCTTCCAGGAACTATTGAACCTTTGGATTCAATCTCCGGAGGGTCAGGTCGACCTATAAGCAATCAGAAAATTACTTCAAAAGAATCCTTGCATCCTAACTATAATTTTGTAGCTTATGGTTTTAAAAGAAAATTGCAAAATATTTTAACTTTTGACAATTTTATAATCTCTTGTTTTTGATCAAAGTCATGGCGGTTGATTAAAGTTCTGTATGATGTATTATCTATCTACTTATGTGCATGTACGTATGTGTGTTTGTAGGAATGTATTTATGTGTCTATGTGTCTATTTATCTATCTATCTATTGATCTATCTATTTATCTTTCTGTCTATCTTTCTATCTGTCTGTCTATTTATCTATCTATCTATTGATCTATCTATCTATTTATCTTTCTATCTATCTTTCTATCTGTCTCTCTATTTATTTATCTATCAATCTATCTATCTGTCTATCCGTCAAATTCATAATCTCTTGTTTTTGATCAAAGCCATGGTGGTTGATTAAAGTTTTGTATCATGTATAGATCGTTTTCTGTCAAGTGATCTCATTTTAATTGGCCGCCATATTGGTGCACATACTTGCCTGTAAACATATGACCACGAATATAAGAGATCCTCGCAGCTATAAACACTACTTAACTAGTAGTTGAAATAAGACCTAAAAATATTCAGGTCCGTACGGGATTTGAACCCATATCTATCAATCTATCTACATTTTTATCTATATATCTATGTATCTTTGTATCTATCTATCTATCTATCTATCTATCTATCTATCTATCTATCTATCTAACTATCTTTTTTCATCGATCCATCTATCTATCTATCAATCTATCCATCTATCCATCTTTCCATCTATCTATCTGTCTATCTATCTATCTATATGTCTATCTATCTATCTAAATGTCTATCTATCTATCCATCTATCTATCTGTCTATCTATCTATCCCTCTGTCTATCTATCTTTCTATTTCTTTATCTATTAATTTATCTCTCTATTTATTTATGTACCTTTACATTTATCTATTGATGTTCCTTTCTATTTATCTATCTATCTATCTATCTATATATCTACCTATCTGACTATCTATCTTTCAATCTACTTGTCTACCGATCTATCTGTCTATCTATCGATCTGTCTATCTTTCTATCTATCCATCTATCTATTTATTATCTACCTTTCCATCTATCTATTTATTATCTACCTTTCCATCTATCTATATATCTATCTCTCTATCGTCTGCCCATCTTTCTATCTGTCTTTCTATGTATTTATTTTATCTATCAATCTATATATCTATCCGTCTATCTTTCTATCTATTTGCCTATTTATGTATGTATGTATGCATGTATGTATGTATGCATGCATGCATGCATGTATGTATGCATGTATGTATGTATATATGCATGCATGTATGTATGCATGTATGTATGTATGTATGTATGTATGTATGTATGTATGTATGTATGTATGTATGTATGTATGTATGTATCTATCTAACTATCTGTCTATCTATGTGTCCATCTATTCATCCATCCATTCATCCATTCGTCTTTCTGTCCATCCGGCCATTACATAAACGAACAAGACAGTTAGGTTTTTACAGTTTTTGTCATATGCCAAGAGAGAAATTATCACCTACCGAAACTAATGGGGGCCTTATCGTTCGTCCACTCACTAAACCCCTTCTTATTGGCAGCTCTGAGGCGAACATCGATGCGGGCGTCATTCTTATCAATAAGCAAACCATGGAATAAACATGTGTTATTCGGCAGGAAGTTACTACAGTTACGCCAGTTACCACCTTGCTTTCTCATCTGAACTTGGAAATCCGTCACTAAACCTCCGCCAGAATCAAAAGACGGTGGCCCCCAACTTACTTCCACTTCCCCGCATTCCTTTGGTTCAACTTTTGTAGTCGATGGTTTAAAAGGTTTTCCTATAAACGTATTTAAGAAACGTTAAATTTTTTTGCCATCGTCGAACTCTCGTGATATCATTTTCAAAGGGAAAGTAAAATCAGTTATTAACGGCACTTTTAAGTAGAACGGTGAGTTTGCTGTATGGCTCGCAAGTGTGGCTTCGGATTGAAAAGTCCGTTTTAAAGGCCGTGCTTTGTATTCTTGGAATAAGCCGATTTAATCTTGCCTCTCACCAAGCAGAAATATTAAAAAGTGTATCAGAAAATCTGCTGAAACGATGGGACTAACCTGGGAGAGTAAAACATAATATTTCGTACTGCGTTAGAGATCCGGAAAAGCTCTGGTGATACTTGGATATCATTATCGTAAGAACAAAACACATTAAAAAAACAACAACAACAGAGAATCATTACCACGTTCCGTTCGTATGGACTCCAGAGACTTTTCACTGTAATGGTTATGTCCCTGTTGATTCCAGGCAATAACCATGATGTCGTAATTTTTGCTGCAATTTAACCAGAGACGATACCCGCTCACGTTTGACCTTTTCAAGTTGATCATATTCCACCCATTCCTTTTGTCTCTGTAGTGAATTGTATACCGTGTTATCGGGCAGCCGTCGGAGGAGGGAACATTCCACGAAAGTTTAGCACTGCATCCAAAGGGAACCGCGTTTACAAGAAACGGACCTGGAACACCTGCAATGCAAAAACCACAGTTACTGCATTATCATCATTTTCATTGCTGATGATAATTTTCTCGTATTTTAACTGATCTTACTCCTATCTTTGCAGTATGCTAACTTTACATTCTTCACTCCAAATGTGGACCAATCTCGTTTCTTGTGGATTTATTTAAACTAAAATAAGCCACCAACCGAAAGAATAGACTTTCCACTCACCATTTCCATTTGTATATCCAAGTGAAAAAAATTAAATGTGATTCCCTAGCTTACCTGATGTAGTTATCAAAACTTCTTTGGCCCAATGACTAACTGATGATGAGCCATCGGAATATTTAGCGCGGATATTGAATTCATAGACTGTGTTTATCTGAAGTCCGATAAATGTGTATGACATTACTTCCCTTGGGACACTATAGTTTCACCTCGACTTTCCGCTTGCTGATCTAAGTGTAAGTTCATAACCAAAGATAAAATTGACTCCAGGCTCTGTTATGGGTGGAGCACTCCACTCAACTGTTATTGCACTTCCACAGTCGGTTGATTTCGAACTCAGAATTTTTGGAGGCGATAGTATTATAAATTCCACTGAAGAATAAATTATACAAAACATTTTTGGTGGCTGATTGGCTAAAATAATATGGGTATGGTTAAACGTACTAACAAGTTAGCGGATGGACGGATTGAATGATGGATGAAAAAGGGGAGAAAAGATGAAAAATCAATATCTGACCTTATTTATTACCTTTACAAACAAGATATTTCAGGAACATTTGTACTGTCCTTCAGAAAAGCTTTTTTGAGAAAAACTTGATCTTAAGATATTGCTTCGGATGCTATAGATTTCCCTATAGGTTTAGTCATAAAAGAGATATGGAGGAACTTTTAAAAATGTGGGGAAATAATTCAGAACCCCAAAATAGATTTGAACGAAATTTCAAAACATCTAACGAAGTTTCAGAAGATCTTTGGTCGGTGCCACACCGTTTCATGCAAGAACACTCACCCATGGAAATGTCTTTTGCCGCAAGCGAGATATTAGACAGCAGCAGTACACAAACGTATTGACCCAAATCTTCTTTAGAAGTGTTTGTAATACGAAGGATTGTAGAGCCTTTCGAATGGTGGCAAAAGTTGTACTTATCACTTTTTCTTATGACACGACCTTGAAACCTCCATTGCCAGTGGTAGAAATGCAATTTGTTATAATCCAGGCCGTTCGCATGACATTTTAATGTGGCATTTGTTAAGCCTGATTTAATTTGACGATATCTTGTAGTAAGCTCTGGAAGAGTTGGTGGACCTACACGAGAGAAAAAGTTATGTTTACAACAAAAAATAATATCATTGGTTTCTGCTTATAACTGGATTTCTATTTAGACAGTAATGGCAGCAGTTTTTGAAACCAGCAACGCTAATAACAATAAACAAGCGATGATAATAAGGATAACAATAGTAATAGTTAGAAAAAGGGCCATAATGGCGATTAAAATGATGAATAATTAATAATGGTAATTTTGGTACTCAGGGCGTGCAAAATACGTGTTCATTTTAAAATCGCCTTTAAATTTGTCCTGAAGGGAACAGTTATAGTCGTTATTGATTTTTGAAAACGACGTATTCTCGAAAGCGTTACCTCATAGAGACTGAGATCCTTTTCAACGCTATGCTGGGAAAAGTTTAACTTCCCAACTTTACTTCAGCAATTTGTAGATAAATTATCCATTTAAAACTGAGCTTACCCAACAACTTTGAATATACTGGCTGTGCGTTTTAATGTGTGAGGAAGAAAAAAAAAACTCAAACAGAGCTTTGTCTTAACAATTTAGACTTTTCGTCCACAATGAACCAGACCAGGAACTAAGCTTTCGACATACCTGCTGTGGTCGCTGCTCCTTGTAGTTTTCCACGGGATAAGAGCCTTACGCACGCATGCCCAAAGGATGCAGTGAAGCATTTCGAACGCCGGCAAGGAGTACATTTTCCATTGGGAACAGAAATTTTCACTAAATTTTTAAGGGAACGCACCTGGATTGAGCCTTAGAGCTGTTTTCTGCTGATTGGATGTGTATAGGAAGCGCTATTTTACTCTAATGGACTAGACTTCTCAATGAACTATTCTCTGCACCCCTAGCTCTCTTTAGTTTGGACGATTATTACTGAATGTGAAGTACACTACTTAATAATCTCTGTCGCTTAATTTACACCAATAGTCTTACCAACAGCCGCGATAATCTTGCTCACCATGGTATCAACATAGTCAAAAATGTAATGGAACATTTCCAAATAAATCACGTCTCCTCTTATCTATGTAATTCGTTGAAGCTCCCCATGGCGCCGTGCATAAAAAGCCACGTCGACACCAAAAAGGCGAACACCTGCTTCTATTAATTCCCGCGCGGCTTCATCTGGAGTATAAGGTGGCGTATTCTCCCCATGAGTAATCAAAATTGCAATTTTCGAAACGTTCTTCCGAGAAAATGGAAACACTCTCTCTGAAGTCACTCTTAAACCTTTGTATGTCATTGTTCTGTCGCCTTGTAAAGGCGTAAGAAGATCCAATGCTTTGGAAAATTCAGGTAAACTGAATATTTTGGAAAAGTTTTTTACTACAGTGGCTTCTTCGCCGAATGACACTATCGCAGTATTAAGTTTTGGACATAAATTAAAGATCTGGCCAGTGACCGCTTTGACAAAGTATCGTACCATCCACAAGTCAATGTCGTTCACAATTCCACTTACATCCAAAATTAAAGCTATGTCAGGCCCATTCTCGCACTGGCTATCAACTGTAAAAAATTTTAAAAAGATGACTAAAGGACTGAAAATGAATCCTATGCAAGATAAATTCGCATAAATTTCAAATGGGTTTTCCCGAAGCATAGGGCAGAAGGACAGACGGAATAAAAAAGAAACTGTTTTCAAAGCTCGAAGATAGTTTGATCGGAATTGTAATTACTTTTTCTTTTTGATGAAGATGACAACCAAAACCAAAGCAAGGGCGTTTATCGAAATTTTTTGTTTCAATCAGATTTTCTAATAAATAATCTGCCATAACTGAGGTTCTGGTATTTCTGAGAAAGAGGGTGGGAGAGGGCGGGTTTGGTAACATACCTGAAAAAAGAATAAAGAAGGAAAAGTTTGCACTTAGTTTCGATGATTTGCCTCTCGTTAGGGAAAAATAACTCGAGGATCAATTACAAAGAAAATCACGATATATTAAAGGCACAGTTTTGGTCTCACGATAACACAGATAAAGAGCACACGTCCTTTATTCAAAATTGTTTTTACATACGCGTCACTGCAGGTTTTTGAGCTACCAAAACACAATAAAAAGCGATGAGGAGTCGACAATATTCCATCGTTATCAACTTTACTTGAAGGAATACAATCAAGAAAGATCTGAAAGAAAGAAAATAGACATAGTTTTCTTAAGAGATATACGAACCTTAAACCCTGAAAATAGAAGCTTCAATCTTATTCAAATATTTCTTCATGGAAAAACTGAAGGAAGGAATCAAATTTTCATTAAGAAAGAACACTTGAATATCAACAATATATTCCTTTTATTTTATATGGAAAACCCGTCGCATTTCTTGGTTGCTCAGGACGTTAGGATTCTTTTCTTTTTGACAAAACATCACAGTTTACTGGGTTAAATTTGCTTTTTTTCTCTGAGTTTTTAAAATGATTCATGATTTGAAAAGGAAGAACGTTTTTGAAGTTTTTGGTGTGCCAGTTTAGGAGAGCAAATTAAGTAAGTTCGCAATTAAATATTAAACACGCTGAAATTGCCACAAGCTTGAATTCCTCGATATAAAGTTTTATAATTCCGTCAAGGTTTTGGGTCAGTTTTATTCCTTGAGGAACGATAGATTTACAAAGCAAAACAATTTTTCACAATAATTTCTCTAATTTAATAGCACGTTTTATTCGACGGAAGCAAAGCCGTAATTTTCAATGAAACCTGAAAGTATCGGTGCTGTTCAAAAACTGCAGTCAAATGCTAAGGAAATGCTCAACGTGCAGATGTTGGAAACTCCTTGTGTATGCTTGTATTTAGGTTAGGTACATGGTTCCATGGAGAATAAAGAGGTTTTCCTTTACTTTAAGTTTCTGCTTTTGATCATGCGAAAATCTAAAAAGGTGACCAGGAAACCTAAATTTATCTTTTGATATCGATTAAAGGTAAGCAAAGAAATTACTGGAAACAAAAATATTGCCCCTTCTTTCAGTTCTCCATTCAGTAAAGTGAAAAAATTGAATTTATTATGACAAGACACATTTTTTTTGGTTTGTTCTGACGCAGAATTTTGGGAAAAGAAAACAATGTTAAGAGGAAGTTTATTTTAGCAGTTTTCCATTGCCAGGAACCTAATGCGCATCTCTTTATCGTAAAATTTCGTACCTTGATGTATTTAGTTCAACCAGGTTTGTCCTGTATTGATAAGAATAGATCACAATCTACAGGTTTTCCTCTGTAATTCTCAGCGTTTGAGAGCATCTATTTTGCCTTCGCTCAGAGATATATTATTTAGCATATTACGGTCAATAATTGAAATACACAGGAACATAAGTTCAATTATAATAAGCAGGTGATACTTTATAGCCTGTCAGTTACTGAGGATGAAATACTTCTCGATTGGAGGATCTATAACACAATCGTCAACAGAGAAAGTTTTTTTCACCTATTGATATTAAGTGCCCATTACCTGTTCAGTGTTTTAAGTAAGGGAACATTCTATTTTGCATTTTCCAACAACCTCACTTTCTCATCCATTTTTGAAAGTGATCGTAAAAGTTCTAGGACAAACGAACATGAGCGCGGCATTTTTCATCACCATCATGATTTTTGTATGTCATATTTTTGTTCTTTAGATCTTCTTTCCCGTTTCAAAAATTTTGAAGCTTGGGTTATCAACTTCACAAATGGTGTGCTTCAAAAGTCAGAAGTGCACCGGTTAAACCGGTGCTGTCGATTCCTCGAAAGGAGAAAGATTAATTCGCATGTCTATGTGATAGAATTGAGAAAGTCACTCTTGCCTGACGTAATTTAAGTCTGCTGCACAATTATTAGTCACAATTCGCTTCGGTAGTCACTTGTAGTCGGACAAAGAGCAAAATTGGCAGCTTATCGAGAGTAAAAGTCTGGAACATTCTACATGACAGGAGATCTTTCGGCTCGACTAGAGATCTCTGTGCCACAATGGTATAAAGAATTTGCATCACGAGAAAGGAAAAAAGCATTGGCAAACGTGCCAGCTGTACTAACCCGGAAGATCGAACAATTTTCCGCCGGGGTTCCCCATCTCTGATTGCAAAATTAAATTGGAGACTTTACGCTTTTGTTTTACAAAGCAACTTTGAAAATTGAACAAAATTTTATGCGGCAGGTGC